CATCCATCCATCCATCCATCCTCCATCTATCCATCTGTCCACCTGTCCATCCATCCCTTCATCCATCCCTCCCTTCATCCATCAATCCCTGTGTCCATCCCTGTGTCCATCCATCCATCCGTCCGTCCACCACCCCTCATCCCCTCACCCATTCTCCATTCCTCCACCTGCAGTTTGTCCATCCACCTGTCCATCCCCCCATCCGCTGTCCCTGTCTTTCTGTCTGTGCCCCGTGTGTCCCCTCAGGGTCCCCCGGTGCCACCCGCTGCTCCCCAGCCCCGGTGCCCCCCCGGTACCTCGGAGGGCCCTGAGGGCGCTGCTCAGGCTCCCGCGCAGTCGGGGTTCGGGCACGGTCTCCACGAGCCGCACCAGCCGGTCCAGGTGGCCCTTGGCCCCCTCGTGCCGGGCCACCTCGGCCCGGATGGCGGCCAGAACCTCGCGGCGCTCCCGGGGGGCCCCCATGGCACCCCCCGGACCCGAGACCCCGCTCGGCCCCCCCGGTCTCCTCTGCCCCACTCGCTTCCTGCCCGAGCCGCGGCGTCACCCGCGGGGAGGGGACACGTCACGGCCCGCGCGGGGCTGGGAACGGCGGCGGGGCCCGGCCCCAGCGCTCCGGGACACGCCGGGACACGCCGGGACACGCCAGGGCCTGCCGGGCCACGGGGCACAGCCCGGCACAGCCCGGCACGCCCAACGCGCCACGGCCACGCCAGCGACACGGCAGGGACACGGCAGGGACACGGCAGGGACATGGCAGGGACACGGCAGGGACATGGCAGCGACACCGCAGGGACATGGCAGGGACACGGCAGGGACACGGCAGGGACATGGGCAGGCGACGGTGGCACAAGGGACACACGGGGACAGGGACATGGATGGAGATGGTGGCACAGGGGACACACGGGGACAGGGACATGGGGACACACACACAGGTGTGGACACTCATGGGGGTGTTGTGCAGACACGCTGGGGACACCTGTGCAGTGACACGGACACACTAATGACATGCTAGGGACACGTATGGGCACACGGACATGTTACAGACATGTGCAGCCACATGGACGTGCCAATGTGTGGAGTGACAGACGCTACGGACACGTGTAGTGACACACGGACACGCTGGGGACCCGTGTAGTGACACACAAACAC